CTGGAAACATTACTTTTCAATATATTATGAGTACTGCAGAATGATTATTGTTACGAATACAGAAGGAGGAGATTCCTTCTGACTGGGGTGTCAGGAAAGGCTTCACAGAGGGAGCAGCACTTCAGCAAGTCTTGAAGATAGAGTGGGATTTATTAGTGAAAGAAAAGAAGGAAAGGACATTTCAGACTGTGGGAACAACATGAGCAATAACCCAGAGATAGAACTGCAGTGTGGGGAGGAAGGGAACGGTGAATAGCATTACCTGGAGAACCTGGCTGAGGCATATGAATGAGGAGAATGGTGAGAAGTGGGAACAGACTGCAGACCATCAAATGCCAAGCTAAAAAATATAGGCTTTATTCCATAGGCAGTAGGGAGCCACTGAAGGTTTATGAGTGTATTTTCAAATGACCACCAGACCCTCCTTCTTTCAGAACCCTTGGAATGTTGCCTCTGAACCTTCAGCTAATTCCTGGTCCAGCTCAGGCCCAGGCCCAGTCCTCCAGCTCAAAACTGGGACAGTATCTCTGCTAGTGTTCTCCTCCTCCCTCCCTCTATGTCAATGGCCTTCCCTTAGCTGATGGCTTGCTAATGTCTCTGAAAATACTAATAACTGATAATGACTGAGCCCTGTTAAAGCTGGTTGCATCGTGACTCCTGAGGCTTAAGAGCATCACTGATGCAAAGGAATTAACCTCAGATGGTGACATTTCAGATGCTTAGAAATTCAGTTTATTCAGCAAACATGCCTACTATTGATAGCATATTGCTAAGTGCTCAGACTCCAGAGATTGACCAGACTCAGTCCTTTAGGAAGCAGCGTCATTCATACATCCAACAATCAACATAAATTGATTGTTGTGTGCCAGGCAGTTCCAGGGAGAGCACAGCTCAGATCTTTCTGGACTCGTGGCAGGGTCCTCCCTCCCATAGGACATACTCTTAGGGATTCTGTGGTGTTTTTTCTAGGAATAGCAAGAGGACTAACAAACACAAGGAGCAAAGAAGGTAGCCAGGGCTGAACAAAAATATGGTCCAAGGACTCAGATTCTAGTAGTTTTCCAGGGAAAGGCCATTCTGAAAGTGATTCTGATGTCAAAGCAGGTTGATATGCCCCAGTTGGTATTGGAGGGACACAAAAAGTGGGTTTGGGGCCCAGATACAACATTTCCAAGTTGGTCTCAGAAACGAAGAGCTTAGAGGAAGGATGTGACAGTCAAGACTAGAGTGGGGAACTGGATAATTCAGGAAAGATGTTGGGGATGGATAAAAGGCAAGGACAGGTGTATCTACACCAGGCCTTCTCTTCTCTGGAATGTTTATCCCCTCATCTCCACAAGCCCAGACCCAGCAGACCCATCCTTCAAGGCTCCTCAAATGTTATTTTCCCCATGAAACTTTACCTGACACTCCACCACAGAAACTTCCTCCTCTACTATGACCTCTCCCCTTCACAAACAAAAAATAATCTCTCTCTCCTGTGAACATCTAGAGATTTTCTATATATGTTCTATGTTTCTATACCTCATTCACAGCCCTTACACTTTTTTCCTTTATGTTGCCATATTATAATTTTTTCCAGCTTTATTGAGGTATATGGACAAATTAAAAATTGTTTATATTTAAGGGATACAATGTGATATTTTGAAATACATATTCATTGCCAAGGGCTGCCTGGTGGGAGAAATGGAGAGATGCTGATCAAAAGGTACAAAGGTAAAATTATAAGATGATTTCTGGAGATCTAATTTACATCATGGTGACCATAGTCCATAATACTGTATTGTATAGTTGTTTGCTGAAAAAGTAGACCTTAAGTGCTCTCACCACACACAAAAAGCATTGTAACTGTGTGAGATAATGGATATGTTAATTAACGATTGTGGTAACCATTTTACAATTTTTTAATCCCCTGTAATGCTTAGTATAATGCCTAGTGCATGGTACACATTCAATAAAATGTTGGATAAAGGGGTTTCGCAGTGCCTTCTGCCTCCACTCTTCCCCCATATCCCACCCCTGAACACTCCTTCTGGAAATGAGCAACACCCTTCCAGGCAGGCATTTTGCAGACTGCCAGCAACATTCAGTAGGTGCTACCAGTAGGTGTTATTACTATAACTTGTGTACCCTGCCTCCTTCTTCCCTGCTGTTTATTCCCTACAATGGAAAGACACTGTCTCCATGAGCAAGGGATGCTCAAAGGAAAGCTCTAAGGTTCCAACACCACTTTGTAAAACATGGCATTAAATTTGCCTGTCCACCCTGCAACTAGAAGAGAATGATTTCACAAGTGCAAGCCAGAGGAGCAAAAGAAACACAACTACTGACCCATATTTTTTTTTCTTAATGGATTAAAAATATCACTGAACAAAAGGAAGGCACTTCAGACCTTTGCTTAAAGCTTAAGAAACTGGGGATGTTGGGCCTGGAGTAGAGAAGACTCCAGTGTGGCCTACCATCTTCTGAGGTAAAGCAAGACAGCATGGTCTGCATAAGGCACAACCAAATACAATGGAGAAGCTCCAGGACATCAGATCTGGGCTCCATACCAGGAAGATTTTCCTCACTATCAGAGCTGTGTAGAGATGGAAGTGGTGCCACTGGGGAGAGTCTTGGCCAGAAATATTCAAGTGAAAGGTGGACAATTGTTCAAGATATTTTGGTCAAGTGGTTTAAGAATAGACTCTAGCACAGGATCAAGAGGGTTAAAACTGAATAAACTTTAGGCCTTCGCTTTATGAAAATATGTCAGGAAAGAAGGAATTCCACACCACCAGGACACTGTCACAGCAATGCAAATGGTGGTAAGGATCATGGAGAGAGTATTGCCAGAAAGGATGCTGTCTTAGGGAAGGGAAGGTGAGACAGTAGAAAAAACATGCCTTTGGTATCTAATCCCAGCTCTGGCACAGATTCATCTGACTGACTTCTTATCACCATCTGATCCTCACCTGTAAAATTGAAAGGCTGAGCTTCCCCAGGGGCAATTGCTACTCAGGCATCCAATGATGCTATTAGTGCAAATGATTGCATAAGGCAGTAAATTTTTCCTGTAAAGAAAAATGTCCAGATCATAAGTTATTTAGGTTTTGTGGAACACACATGATCTCCACTGGACACTCTTCCTCTTTTATTTTTTACAACTCCTTAAAAGTGTAAAAACACATTTGTAACTTGTGGGCCATACAAAAACAGGCGGTGGGCCAGATTTGCCCTGTGAACTATAGTTTAACAACCCCTAGCATAAGGGGGTTCAGGATAGCTTAAATGAAATCTTCCAGAAAAAATAAAGTTAGAGATTTAGCCTAAAATGATACAAAATCCCCCAAGAAACAGAGAGGTGGTGAAAGAAAAATGGAAATATACAGTGAAGAATAAGCTCAAACCCAAATATGATTGGAAGAGGGTAAAACAGAACAAAATAATGTTGGAAGAGATGTGTATGGTGATAGAGGGACATTGGCTATGGGTGTCTTTTCTAAGATGAAGAAGCACCGTAAGCCAGGATCACTCTGTCTGTGCAGCCCAGAGATCACTCAGGAGTCAGGATGCCTATCCCCAAACCAAGCTTGATACTTGATGCTCCAGTAGAAAAAAAAGGAATGTAAACTGGAAGAAATCCAGCACGTTAAATAATCAGGGTCCAGAGGCACTGACTAATGGGGAAAATTAAATGTAGACAAATATTAGCAGGCTCATTAAGTAGCATTTAACAGGACAAGTGATACTGATTCACAGATATTTGAAAAGCATAAACACCATAATCAGCAGGACTGGCAGGGGCTAAAATAAGATTGGTTAGGGGAACAGAGATTATCAGTGATTTTCTGGGAAATAAGCAGTATGGCATAGCTAGCAAATGATGAATTCACATCCAAGTGCTAGGCACTTAGAAGCTGGGGAAGGGTGTGGGGAGGAAGGCAGGCAAAGTGGCAAAGCCCCTGGTACTCTGGAAAACCAAGAGTCAAAAGATCTGAGTTCCAGGAAAATTTCATGTACTGCAGCCTTAGGTAAACCACAACAACATGGGGCTTCAGTTTCCTTTTCTGTAAAATAGGGATTAGTATTCCTGCCCTCCTTATGTTGAGGCATTTTGTGAAGATGCCCTATCCAGTTGACCGCGTTTGCCCATTTTACTTAAAAGGACAAAAACAATTCAGAGCATGGCTCATACCTTGGAGGGCAAATGACGATATTATTTAAAAAGACTCCTAGACTCCATAAAGAATTTTCAGATTCATGTCTGCAGATCCTCACAACAATCTTTGGGAGTCATAAGAATAGGTAAGATTGTACCTATGCACACTTGAGTAAACTGAAGCTGAGGCAGGTTGCCTGAGGTTGCATAGCTAGAACCATGTCAAAGCCAGTAGTAAACCTGAGAATCCTGGCCCCTGGTTGGACACTTCTGGGAAGGTGAGCATATTGGGGAAGAGTTAGTAACACTGACCCCTTGTGACACTTGGAAAAGCTTTCAGTCATATCTAGTTTCTATAATTACTTAACAAACCAAAAAAAAAAAAAAAATGCTTCCTTCTATCCCTAAAAAACAAAACAAAACAAAATAAGAAACTCTGTGGCCATGGAAGGGTTAATATCCACCCTGCCCCCCCACACTCCCCTCTAAATCAAGAAAGAGTTCAACCACCTGCTGCCATCACAGCCTCCTGGCCCAACCCTACCCACAACCAAAGCTTTTGAGAATGTCTGCAATATGTGCACATTTAAAACACCTCATCTTCTAGTTGCTGGGTGTGCCAGAGTCTGTCATAGTGAAATTTCCAAGTTCCAAGTTCCAAGGCTGTGAAGAACAAGTTTCTCTGGTTTGGTGTGTCCCCAGTCCCCAAGGGGAGCCACGTGCATTTCCCCAGCACCAGGCCACCCTCCAAGGCTTCCTCCTCCTCCTCCTCCACCCGAGCTTTGCCAACTCTCACTCATTCCAGTCCCTGGGCTTGCAGGTCAGCCTTTCCCAGGGGGACACCAGCAGCACCCCTCCATTTGGGGCTGCCCCACAGCCCCTGCACCTGGCAGAGGCTTTGTGTCCTTCCTGCTCTAAATTGTTTCTTTTCCATACAAAACTGTATGACTAAGAAGAAACAGGACAGTCCTAGCCTCCTTGAGGCTTATCTTCCAAGCCCAGAGATCTTCCCTGAAGCCCTAAGCTGTCCCTCTCCTGCCCCTCCCACTAGCCCCCAGCCTCTCCAATCTCTGCCTCCTTCTCTTTTCACAGGCTAGGGGTATTCTCCTTGGACCTTCCTGGCCAGCTCCCCTCAGAACCCCCCTCCCTTCTGCTCATCCTTGCTTGTCCCCCTCACTTCACACTGTGCCCCCCTGAATTCCTCTCAAGGGCTTCCAAGTTATTTCCATTCGGCTCCACAGACCTTTAAACCCACCCTTTCCTCCTCACAGCTCACGGATGCAGTGGCTCCCCTGTGCAGCCCCGCCCCCCTTGTCCCTGCTGGTGGCTCTTGCCCCTTCAGCCCACGTCTCAGAGCCCTCACATACCCACAGCCCGACGGCCATCACCACCACAAAGTAGACAACGATGACAGAGATGTCGGCCGCATTGCGGATGCGCTCATGTGGCGCAAGGGGTGAGGTAGTGTCGGTCGTGGGGCTCCAGGTGGTAGTGTCCATGGCGGCGCTGGCGATGCGTCCCTCCCGCCCAGGCCACTCGCTCCTTATACCGCCTCCGGGTTAATAATCAGCCCCGAGGGAGGGCGCCCGCGAATTCGCGCGGTGCGGCTCCTGCGCTGCACCGTCGGGGAGCAGCTGTGGACGCAGAGAGCGCTGAAGGAGGAGCAGGTAGAGCTGTTGGCAGAAAGGGTGGCAGGCTGGCAGGTAAGGGCTGTTCCGTGAGTGGGGAGGGGCCATCCAGGGGGGTGGTGCCCGCCTGGCACAAAGGCCGGCTGTGTTCCCGGCAGGGTAGCCTCGCCTGCTCTGCCAGGGGCAGAGAGGGTGCGGCTCCATTGAGGAACCAGGCTGCCTGAGGCCAGGGGCCTAGAGGCTTCAGGTCGCCTGCCACCTGCCCTTGGACCAGTACTGAGGCTTCTGCAGACTCCGGTTCTCCATGTGTAAAACGGGTACAAGACTGTTTCCAGGATTCAGCCAAGTTCTTGGTCTCTGTGGAGAAAATTCTGGGGAAGACCACTTGTTGGGTATTGCTGGCAAGAAATTCAGAACAATTTATTGGCCATGGGGACAGCCACCCACCTACCTACATTTCTGGCGCCCCTGCAGCCCCCAGAGGCACTGTTACGGCCACTGTAAGGAGGAAAAAAGAGAGACTAGGAGAAGGGATCCCACTGGGAGTTTTTCTTTGCCCTGTGCCTCACCCAGTAATTGATCTGGGGTTCTTCTGGGGAAGATAGAAGCGAGGATACTAGAGAATCCCTTCCATGGAACTCATCATATGTTGACCCTTCCTGGGGATTCAGCCTGCCCATTTGGAGACACATGTCTAAGTTGAAAGTCAGGGCTCAGCACAGAGATGATTGAGAAAAGAGGCATGACTCACCCAAGGTCACACAGTGAGCTAGTGACAGAGCTGGTCCTACAACCTAGACCAGGGTAGGCCTAGTTCAGAGGAAGGTTGGAGATGCTCTCAGGTGCTAGCACTAGGGAGCTTTGCTGGAGTGATGAGGTACAGGGAGGGGGAAGGACCACATAGACCCTGCCCGGACTCTGTTCTGCCTCAGGTCCTCCCTGCCCACCACCAGACAACCATCCACTGCTCAAATGCCAACAACTGATTTCTTTGCACCTCACTGTCTCTGAGGTCCACTCCCATCCTCCCTCATCAGCACTTGCTCTTCCTACTGAGGCTGCAGTCAAAGAATCATTATTTGGACTGCGTCCATGTAGGTCTTCCCCATTCCCCCCCACCCACTCCCCTAAACTGAGTAAGGTTATGCCCAGGGCCCAACATAATGCCTGGCCACCAGGAACAGGAATTCCTCTTCTGAGGAACCCAGAAGCAGGAGATCTTCAACATGGATGTCCTCCAAAATTTCAAGCTGAGCCATCAGCCACAGCTTGGAGCAATTGACCTTTCATCCATCTGTTCCCGAATTCAGCAGAGCATTTTCACCTGGCTCCGCCCAAGCGGAGCCCCTGCCCTCAGGAAACTTCCAGTCTGATCTGGAAATGAGCTCATCCACAGCAAAAGTTCAGCCCTGAACCCCCAGCTGCAGGCATCCAGCCTGTGCCAATTTCCAAAAGTGAAGTCTGGCAATGAGCAAATCCGAAAAGTGAGCAGGAGGAAGGACCTGAAGTACTATAGGACCTCAATGGAGGGAATAAACCATTCTTTGATCTTTCTCAGATAGCAAAACATGGATGGCTAGAGAAGGAAAGGATGGCAGCCTGGAAGAGACCAGAAAATGCATTCATTCATTCATTTATTCATTCATTATACATTCATTCATTCTTGCAACACAAGAACTACTTCTATGTGCCAGGTCATGTGTGCCAACCCTGGAGATATAGCTGTACACAAGATTCACAGGGTTCTTGCCCTCACAAGGCTTCCAGCCCAGTGGGAGAGATAGACCATCATCAAAAATGAGACAAATACCTATAAAATTAGCATTGTGATATGTGCTTTGAAAGAGACATAGTAATGCTCCAAATGTGTAGCAAGGATTTTAACATGGAGATGAGGTAAAGCTGGGGGAAGGCCTCGGAAGGTCCGGTTTGAACAGGACCTTAAAAGAAGAACAAGCAAGGTAAGATGGGAGTGAGGGATGTATCAGGAGAGGGCAAGCTGGGGCTAAAAATAAAAAATAAATTAAAAAACATGTCAGTACCAAGTATCCCCCTACCATGGCAGGGTGGCAGGGGGAGTCCAGGATACCTGAGGCCCTTTTGCAATTTCTGTTCCTCACTGGTCTCCTCTAAAAGGACAATTTATACCCAAGAAAACAGAACAGAGATTCCTCAAAAAATTAAAAATAGAATTACTCTGTGATCCAAGAATCCCATTTCTGGATTATATATCCAAAGACAATGAAATCAGTATCTTGAAGAGATATCAGCACTCCCATGCTCATTAAAGCATTATTCACAATATCCAAGTTGGAAACAGTTTAAAGTGTCCATGAGCAGATGAATGGATAAAGGAAATATGGTGTATATATATACATACCACATTTATGTATATGTCTATGTGATGGAGTATTATTCAGCCATAAAAAAGGAAATCCTGCCCTTTGCACCACCATGGATGAAACTAAAGGACATTATGCAGACAGATAAAGACAAATACTGTTTGATCTCATCTGTATGCACAGTCTAAAAA